AAGCCATTTTTGTCCATGAATAATGATTCTAATAATCTTTTGGTAATAACCATGTTGTTAAGGACTAGTAGCACAAGAAATGTAGTTTTTACTTATTTGCACCTAATAAATTCAGCTTACTCATATGTAATAAAACACTCTTCATTAGGTGTTACTAGAGTCCAACTAACCATGAATTAAGTCATTAATCTCTGAATATCTTCCCCATTCTAAAGTGATGTTTTTATTGTAGATAATAAATTATTAGTTTGATACAAGTTGAAATGATTGTAGTCCCTATTCTCAAGTGGTCTCTTCCCACTGAATTCATGTATTGTGACATGCATATTAATAGTTCATACATGAAAAGGTAGTTATAAATAAAATAAATATGAACAATTACATTGTTGTCAAGTATATTCTTGTCTAGGTCACCTTTACCTGTATCAAATATATTATAATATGCTTATTTGAATATATTTATTTGCTGTGAATAAAATAAATGCTTTAACTAAAATGAATTATACTTTAATAAAAGCATAAACATGCAATGTAGCACTCAGTGTATCTGAACAGTTTTAAACATTGTACACTTTACAGTACAATAAAATTTACATAACTGCTTTAACGAGCTTCAATATTCTGATTCTCTTTAATCAGTATGTTTAAGGCATATTGTCAAATGACATTCTTTACAAAAAACAGAACAAAAAACTTTTGTACAGAAACTCAACTATTCTGTTAACAGGCACTTATAATGAGCTTAAAATTTAATCAGCCAAGGAAGTAGCTTTCCTTTTGACTTAAAGTCTTCAGTCTTGGCTTTTTCTTCTTGTGTCATATTGGACGCACACCTTTTGGCCAATGAGAACAAGGTCTCATTTGCATTGTCAAATTTAAGGCTATTAAAAGTCTCTGGGTTGCCAATACTAAGTTCTGCGATAGGCGCAGTCATTTTGATGGTGCCCCGATCAACTTGGCTCAGTCGGAAAGCCTCTGTCATCGTGTGGACCCTTTTGAAGATCTTCAGGACCCTCTGATAGCTTTTTATTGCCTCATCTGGCCCCTTCATTGGGAAGAAACAAAACACAAATATTAAATAACTTTGTTAGTGGCGAGGGCCAAATACTGAAGACACTTTGATTGCTGACTTAATTCAACTAAAATTATATACACAGTGGCTTCTATAAGTTTTTACACTTTACATTTACTTCAGTTTTGCTACAGTGAGTCAGACACTAAATTTGACTTATGCAGTTCTTTATTCTCCAAATTATACACTGATTACTTAAATTAATTAACAGATCCCCAACTCAATTGGGCCCGTCTTGCAGCAGTGCTGCTTTAAATGTGCAAGTTATGTAGTTGGCTACACTGTAATAAAACTTTCCAAATAGGGTTTTAAACCTAACTGAACCTAATGCATTTTATTCACTCTTGACTCCTGATTTGTAGTCAAGGCAAATGTATTGTTCTCACCTCTCATGTGGCTCCGCCCCAGTGTAGGTGTAGGTACGTTTTCCAAAATCTGGAGGTGATCGATGTTTTTTTTCTCTGGGTTGAGTCATTATGTCGCTGTCCAAATCACTTACATTTGCAGAGGAGACGTCATCATCATCATCTTCAAAGGTGATTCCCTTTGCCTTAACTGCAGAAAGAGCTGGGGATGTTTTTACTCATTTTATACAATTCAAGCACTTAGATGTATTACGTCACAAAATGATTTACCAGGTATTTTTTTCTTTCTACAACTTGATTTCGTAGAAAATCTCTCTCATCCGTGATATATTATGAATATTTTGACACTCAATTTTCTGTTCCAGAAATTCTATTTTGGCCTCCAGGAATTTTACCTTGGAGACAGATGCTACACTGAAATATATATTTGAAAAGATTATACAATTTTAGCGATATAATATGGTGGGTTTTCACAAGGTTATTTTTAAGTAAATATTGAATTCTTACCTGATCCCACACTACTGCTGCTGCTGCTCTGAGCAATGCTTTCTTGATCTTTAGAAATGTAATAAACAATTTACTGTTAGAATAATTGATATATCTGGATTTTATTTGGGTTTACACAAACAGAATACTACCTTCTTGCTTGCATTTAGTCGTGTCTACAAACTCCATGGTGACATCATTTAGATTTTTTTCCTTTTGGCTGTAAAAACAAAGCAACAACAAGATATTATCATATAATTAATGCACATTCATAAAAACAAACGACATATTGAATTTAACTAGTGCTAATTTGTCCAGAAGTAATTAAACTAATGAGTTGGTGATTATATGAAGTAAACTCAAACCAAGTTGGTCGGAGAAATGAATCGCAGCATGCAGGCTACTGGAAGAGCAGCAGACAACTGTGGCACCTCCTCTTCTTCCGTTCAACTACCAGCAAACCCCAGTGGTACCAAGACAGGTGCCTTCTCTCCTCAGGACCCGCACTAGTTAAATCAGTGCATTTACGTGCGGAGGTAGAGCTAGTGATAGCAATATATTTTAGTTTTTCATTTAGCAGTTTCATTTACAATAAATGACTGAATTAGCTGTACGCTACAGCCAATAAACATTAGCTCTTCTGAATGAGGTAACCTTATCGAGGATTCACAAATCATCAGTTTAGGAGCAAGTGCGCAACTCATTAGCTTTGTGTTATGGGTTTAAAATGGCTTTCAGTGCCTCAACAGACCTAGATAATGTGAGCCACCGCCATATCCACCGTGCTCAACCACAGAGTGTTCGTGAATTACATCTTTAATAACAACATAAATGGTCAGAGAATTGCCTAGAGCATATATAAATATATATATGTTTGAGAATTCTCATGTCAATTTCCAAACTTGGATGCATTTTATTTACAAGTATATAAGCCTACTTTAAGATTAAAACACTAGCAATCAAGTAATTTTTTTATTTAATTGGAGATAATGTCTTGTTTTTGCCCAAGGCCTTCACCTACGACAAGTGGAGATGCTGCAGGAAGGAATTACTGGGAGCTCCACAACCCTAAGCAAACTTGCACATATATTGCAAGGAGTTTGTAAATTGGTAATGAAAAGAATGAGAAGAGGCATACAGATTGTTGACAGAAGAAGAGAGATTGTATTTATCGATAAATGCAAATTTGGTTATAAAAGAATGGTATGGATTTCATAACAGGCACACTGCAGTGAGGCATAGTCACACACCAAGTCTGCAGCTGGTGTGTTGCATATCAAGCTAGGGCTTTCTAATTTCTTTGTTTTGTGATTTTTTTTCAGTACAACAGAGGCCGAGCAAGCAACAAGAGTTCCTGGGTTTTTGGAATCCTAGGCATTAAAGAAGACAGAAGATGACCTGTTCTTAGGATTGTCCAGCGATGTTCAACTAAGTTTCTTATGCCACTCATCAAGAAACATGTTCGCAGAGGAAGCTCAGTTGTTTCAGATGGTTGGAGAGCTTACCGGTCTCTTAGTGAAAAAGGACTACTTTGACTACTTTGTTGATCCCGAAACTGGAGCACACACTCAGAACTTGGAGAGGCTTTAGGGTGCTTGCAAGACAACAATCTAGAGACTAACAGGCAACAGCTCGGAAAGTATGTTAAAAGATCATTTAGATGTCATTGAATGGTCATACTGGTGTGGGAAGTATCACAAAAATTGTCAACTTGGAATGCTTTTGCATGATATTGGAAAAGCATTTCCAGTATAAATTGTCAGTATAAACTTGTAGATGTTCCCTGTTTTTCCCATAAAATATATCTAAGTTGTATTTCATCATGAGATGAAGCACAGACAAAAATGTATATTTTACTCATTTGTATCAGTACATTTTGATAAAGAATTAATTCATAATTAGTGACAGTGTTTTGCTACATCTCTGATCAAACTAAAAAAAGTATTGTCCCTGCATTCCTTATTGCTGTCATTAACTCTTTGTTGTGCTACTGTAACTGTATTCACTGAGGGATTGACTGAGGGTATAAATTCTTGAATGCTCTCTAGACTGAGACAGAGATGAGCTACTATTTTTTTATATGGTATGTTTTGAAACGTTTTCAATTAAATACAAATGTTGATATTTATGACTATGTATATGATCAACAGTTAAAAAATTAAATTTAATTGAAAATTTGATATATTACATGAAATATAAGTACCTAACTACCTTTTCATAAATGAACTATAAATATGCATATCACAATACATGAATTAAGTGTGAAGAGGAGACCACTTGAGAAAAGGGACTATATTCATTTCAATTTGTATCAAACTAATAATTTATTATCTACAATAAAAACATCACTTTAGAATGGGGAACATATTCAGAGGTTAATGACTTAATTCATGGTTAGTTGGACTCTTGTAACACCTAATAAAGAGTGTTTTATTACATATGAGTAAGCTGAATTTATTAAGTGCAAATAAGTAAAAACTAAATTTCTTGTGCTACTAGTCCTTAACAACATGGTTATTACCAAAAGCTTATTAGAGTCATTATTCATGGACAAAAATGGCTTAGTATTATACTAATAAGCAGTAATAAGGAGTGTATTAATAGGAAAGTGTTTGTAAATGTCTCACTAATAGCAGAATAAGCTTATGGGGAATTAGACATTAATAAGGTCTGAATAAATACACAAATTAACCATCTATACTAACTAGCAGGTAGTTAGATGTTAATAAGTGCACTCTAAAAAATATAAAATGTATTTATTTATTTATTATGTGTATTTATTTATTTATTTATCCATTAATTCATAATGTGTATTTTTTTATATTTTCACAATTTCTTTTGAAGCACAACAAAGGGCTTCGAGTGGCGTGCGTCCCCGAAGAGAACTCGACGTGATGACGCAATCAATAAGCGACCACAGTCAGTTTTGTTTCTTCTGATCGTGTTGCTGGTAAGTGTAAACTCCGATTGTTGTTTTACTGGGTTAAAATGAAAGTAGCAAGAGTTATTTTGCGGTATCTTCCCTGTTTTATCTTTGCATTTATCAGTAGGGTTGGCGCTAGCGCTCCTTTGTCCTCGAAATACACCAACTTCCTCACAAAAATGGAGGAAATATGAGCCGTGGCTGTTTGGTGGTTTCGTGTTTTTCTTCAGCATAATGTGTCTCAGGCTCTTCCTTCACTATAACATACTTAAGAAAACTTAATGAGACCCATCGGTTCGTATATTGTACACATGTTTTCATGTCTGACCAAAGAATGGTTGAAATCGGTGAATGCGATGTAACTTAGCTTTCAGCGCGCATAGCTAAACGTTGTTGTCGTTTTCTCTGAAGTTATTTCATTGAAGCAGCTGGGAGCGCGCACTTTTACGTTTAACAATTACATTTCTGGTAAATGCAATAATCTGACTCTTTTAAAATCCGGACTGTCTCAGTGGGTTTGTTCGTTCCAATTTCATCTCGATAAGCTAAATACACAATGACAACATAGGCCACTGTAAATGATCCGCTTCAGCGTTTTGACCAGATTCTGTGAAATATTTTCAAAAGTAAGATGTTTGTTTGAATAATATAATAATGCTGATATTCATGCACGTAACCAAGCTGAGTATTGATGACTCCCAACATAAACGCTTGAATACCAGACATTTGTACGTGTGCATATCTAAGGAAATCAACATCACAACATTCTTTATCCCTATAATGTTTAATACAGATGAGGACAGCTAAAATTAAAGGTGCATTGTGTAACTTTTCTGGTAGAAGGTTCGCCAAATGCTTTTCTTCATGGAGATGTTATTGCTTTGTCTGGAATGTTTCACAGTATGGCATTAAGCCTTTCTATCTTCTTGGATCAAACTGGACCAAATTAGAACTCTGTGGAGAGGCAACCCCGCTCACAATCCTAATGCCTTTTTTTTTTCTATACATAAAACCACTTGTGATTGAATAAATATAAGGTAGAGCTATTTAATGTCATACTGTGGAACATTCCTGGCAGAGAAAAGGCATATCCATAGAAACAAGAAGGTGGCAGACCCCCAACCAAAAAGTTACAAAGTGCACCTTTTAATGTTGTTAAATGCAGATTTTTGTTATAATACAGTGAGTTCTAGAGTCAAATCACTAACAAATATTTGTAGGTTCAAAATGTATGTATTTACTTTTTGGATATTTTTCGATATTTAAGAAATACCATCTGGGAGTATGACATAGTGTGTATACCTAAGGAAATCTTTTATTTGTTAATGTTCTGTGCAGGCAGTTCAAGAAGTGCTTTGCTTCACTCTTGCTTTGTTAGTCATTATTTCAAAAAGTTTGGATGGCATATTTTGTACATATTACTATCTGTCTCATCCCTCATGTATCTGTGCTCTAAATGTTTTTTTTTTGTTTTTCTTTTCTAGGAGATTTTATGAGGACTGATTTGTGTTTTGGATAACTGGCATGCCATTGACCTCTTGGATTTGTGGACATTTAGGCTGTCAGTTACGGTACAGGGATTGCAGGGACAAATAACCACCCTGGATCTTGTTGCCATATAAGGAAGAAGAAAGGACACGAGGATAGGACAAGTGAGTGAACAGTGCGGCGCTGGGGATGGGGTTGAGGAGCCAAAGGAGAAAGTCATGGTTCACAGCGGCTTTTCTTCCCCGATGAATACAACGTCTGCACTGCCTTTACCAGCTTCTACCACAGTGCCACCTGTTGTGCCCCCACCTGCAGACAGCACAGAACAGACTGTACCCCAGACGCCCATCAAACCCATCTCTAACTCTGATTCGACCAATGTCTCAACTCCAGTTCCTTCTAATGCTGAAACTCCCATTAACAATGATTCAGAGTCTGTGTTGTCTACTTTAACACCAACACCTGCTCAGCCGGTTTTCAATGGCCGCACATCAGGCAGGAAAAGGACTCCTAAGTCTTGTGACTGCTGTGGTCCGAAAGGTCACAGCCACAATGTCCAGACACCAAACAGAGGACGGGGAAGGGCCAGAGGGAGAGCTAGAGGGAGAGGGAGTGCTACCAACCTGGAAGACACTCCTAAAAGGAAGCTTGGAGGACTCCTGACACACAATAAGTCTATTACCTTGATAAATGAGAACTTGGGTAAAGATGAAGGTACTACAATGGGAGCTGATAGTCCATCACAAAACTCAACAGAAATTCATATCCTTGTTCAGGATGGGGTAGGAGTGAACTCTGTATCATCAGACTTAAAAAATACACAAAGTTACAAGACACTGAAGGATAGTGTCAGTAACAATGACGTTGAAATGAGGGTTTTGGACAGGCCAGTTGATGTGGTTCAGAGCAGTTTTGTAACAGGATCTACTCTTTCAACTACAATTACTACAACTACACCAGGTGAAATTAAAAGGAAAATTGATGATAATGTTGTAAGTTCTTCAACAAGTGTCCAAGTTGCATCAATAGCAAACAAACAGGCCAAGTTAGAACCGGAGCAGCAGACTGACCCAAAGCCTTCAGCACAAAATGGAGATGTTAAACTGTCTTCGAATGGATTACTGAGCAGTAATAAAGAAGTAACACAAGTAACAAATGGACCATTGCAGACTGGTACAAAGCCAGGAGATACCTCTGCTGTTGACTTGATTTTAATAGACCAGACCTCTGAGAAAACGAACTCTGTACCTCTTACTTTGTCCAATGGAAACGCCACCACACCAAACGACTACACTCAGGAAGTTATCGCTATGGATTCGGTGACACCCAAAACGCCCACTACCCCACCTCCGCCCCAGGACCCCATCACCGTGAGCAGCGAGGAGCACCCTTGGGCGCTACGAGATCACAGGATGTACTGTCTACAGGGAACATGGGGCAAAGTGGACCAGACTGTGGGGGCAGGAGGAGAGTTAAATGATAAATCACAGGGACAAGAGGAGGAAAGAGAGCAGCTTCTTGATATGGTCCATGGTAAGATCATATTGCACATATATAGACACACACACTTTAATTACTAGGGCTGTAGGCCTTTAGTCATGTAGTCAGTTAATCAGCAGATGGTGTCTTAGTCAACCAAAATTTGTGTTAGTTGACTAATTGCTGTTTTTGACACAATATCACAGCATTCTTTATCCCTATAATGTTTAATACAGATGAGGACAGCTAAAATTAAAGGTGCATTGTGTAACTTTTCTGGTGTAGGGTCTGTCAAATACTTTTCTTCATGGAGATGTTATTGCTTTGGCTGGAATGTCTCACATTATGGCATTAAGGCATTAAACCAAGTGAGGAGCGGGGGTGTGCGGAGATTCCGTGCGACGACCATAGTTTTGCGACGATTCACATGGTTCGGAGGGATGTAGTCAAGGCGGAGCCACTTGGTGTCAAGGCAGCCGTCCTAACTATAAAGTGCTGCAGGAAACACTGCTTTCTATCTTCAGGGGTCAAACCAGACCAAATTACAGGTCAGATCTGTGGAGAGGCAACCCCGCTTACAGTCCGAATGCCTTTTTTTGTAGGTATTTTTTATCTATAAAACCAGCTGTGATTGAATAAATATAAGGTAGAGCTGTTTAATGTCATACTGTGGAACGTTCCAGACAAAGAAACGGCGTATCCATAGAAAGAAGGTGGTGGACCCCCAACCAAAAAGTTACACAGTGCACCTTTTAATCATGTTAAAATGCAGATTTTTGTTGTAATATAGTGAGTTCTTCAAGTCAGTAACAAAAATTTGCAGGTTCAAAATGTATGTATGTACCTTTCGGACATTTTTGGATATTTAAGCGTGTAAGAGTATGACATCATCACAATCTAGAATCTGAAAGCCAGCATGCATTTTATTTAGATTAAGTTTTAGATTTAAGTTTGCTGAAGATGTGGTATTTTTTGTATTTATATATCAGGATTTACCAGTTTAATCTGTTTTAAATGCATTGTTTCTTAGTACATTTCCTGCATAAAAATAGTTGCATGAACACAGTTGTAGTCTTGTCTTTAAGTGCAGTTGAGATAGATAATAGTTTTGAGAGCTTATTAAGACACTCCCTTTTTAATCAATATGCAAGACATGTCTTTACCAAGAATTTATTTAATCTACTACAGCCCTGTTAATTACATTGTATAGGTTAAGTATTTTTTGTGTCACACAGTTTGTGGTTTGGAGACAGAGTAAAACAGGTTTTGCAGAAAGCTGATCCTTTTATCCAACGTGTCCTCAAGCATCACATCTAACTAACTACTATTATCATCATAAACACAGGACACTTGAATATAACAGGCACTCTTTTCATTACAATTTGTGGGGAAAGGAGCAAGTGCACATTTGTCATATGTTTGATGCAAAAATAAATATATAGAGCACATACAGCACACTGATCAATTCTGGTTTGCATTTGATAATCTCTATAAAGCAGTTCAAATAATTAATTGGTGTGAATAGATTGTAGAGTGTAAACTAATGGGCTTAATCAATTCAGTGTGTCCCCAGATGATAGGGGATTTTTTTCAGTAGTTTTAAGGCAAGGCAAGGCAATTTTATTCATATAGCACAAGTCCTACTTTGTAATTCAAAGTGTTTTACAGAATAAGAAAGACATTAAAATCACAATACAGACAACTCAAAATATAAATAATCATCATAACATTTACATTAAAAGAGAAGAAAACCTTTCAGTCATATGCACAGTTAATCAGAACTGTTTTGAGTCTGGAGGTCTGTCTCACATCTTCAGGAAGGCTGTTCTAGGTTTTACTGAAAACGCTGACTCCCCGTGTTAACTGAACTATCTGCAAGTTTATTTCATTTTTGTTTCACAAGTAAATGTTAAATGTGAAACCTGTAACCCCCTGATCTGGCCTGTTCAAACTTACCTGTGGTCTCTGGTCTTTTTCTGTCTGACCAAAGCTGCCACATTGTCAGGCTGCAGGAACATAAATAGCATCTAGTGGTGAGAATACAACAGGGCAGGTCAAGCAATATAATTACGGATTGTAGCATTAAATACGGCTTGACAGATACCCCTAAATGTCCTATATTATGTGGAACTGACTCTTGTGAGCTTTTAGCCATGTTATAAAATGCTGTTACTGCCTCCAAAACATACCCAGATCTGTTTCATTCACACATTTTTGAGTAATTCTTTGTTTGTTTACAAAGCTCAAAATGCTCTGTTTTACCTTGTGATGTCATGTCATGGTACTTTTCACACTGACAGCTACCTTTTACCTTTAGTACAATAGAAGCTGGCAATTTTAGAGCTGAAATTATCCAAATGATTCTACTGAATATGTATGGAGTTTAAAAACACAGTGAAGCACTTCTTGTATTACCAAATGACATCACAAGGTTGAACAGAGTGTTTTCTGTTTGTGAAAAAACTCTAAATATGCAGGTTTTGTATGTTAAACATGTGTGAATGAAACAAAACACAACTCCAGGTGTGTTTTTGATGTGTAAAAAACATTGTAACATAGATCAGAAAATAGTGTAATATGGGCCCTTTAAAATGCAGTGGTATTTGTTGACCTGCCAAATTAATTTATCTAGACCAATGTCCCTAAAATAATACAATTAGACTTAAGGCTACTTTATCATTTAGCCTACTTTTTGGTTTGGGGTCGCAACTGAAATAGGCAATGAAAAAGCACCACCAGATTTGGTCTGGAGTCATGTTCACCATGTTATGCCAAGGCTTTTATGTGATAATAGTTTGAGTTATAATTTTACATCACCTGCCTTGCTGTAGGGATGAGTCAATGGGGTTTTCCAATATGCAATTTGCAATTTTTTTTCTTTTTTGTGCTGGTAGTGATATCCAATATTTGGCCTACTACTGTGGTCAATATTAATATTTAGCTTTTAAAATCCAGAGCAAGACCCACAAATATATCATAAAATGAAGTTAACTTTTACTTTAACTTTTGAATAGGGCAGTGCTAAAACATTATCAGCATCGAATATCAGGATTGAATGATGGCCTAGACGATATATATTAGAGCCCGACCGATATGGATTTTGTTGTGTTATGAAACTGATATAATGGGAGTTGGAGCTGCCGATAGCCGATATAATCACCGATATATTTAGTGATGTAAAAATTCACTGTAAATCTTGAATTGTTTAAAAAAAACTTAGGTTTGGCTCTAGTGGATTCTAAATTGGGTTTATTTAGGCAACATTTATTGTTATTCTGACTCTTTACATCATATTTACATACAGTAAATTGGCCTAATGGCATTTTTGCATCACATTCTAGCTACTAGTGATGGGTATTCCAGTTTTTTTTGGAGAACCGGCTCTTTTGGCTCAGCTCACTAAAGCAGCTGGCTCTTTCGGCTCCCAAGCAACTCTTGAGATTGTTTTGTTGCAAGCAGGTCTAATGCAGAACTGAACCAGGACTGAAAAAGGACTAAACCAGGACTAAAACAGATTTAAACCATGTGTAAAACAGGACTAAACCAGAACTGAACCAGGACTGAGTGTCGGGACTCGGTCTCTATCTCTCTCCTGCACTCGAGCCCAAGATTAGTCCTGCTTTATTCATTTTATGCTGAACTGCAGCCAAATATGCACTTTTTTTATCCTATGCACACGCATATTTCTGAAAGTTTCGTTTTCAGCCGCTGCTGCTGTCAAACTACGGGTCTACAAGCGGCATGAAGAGAAAAAGTGAGAAAAAGAGGAAACACGGCTCCCAATAAGAAACATGCTCCCGTCGTTCGCTTCAAAGAGCCGCTTCGATCACGACCCATAACTCCTAGCTAGTAAAGAAATTACCGCTATTAGCCTTTAGCCGTAAAAACGTGCGCACCGCGGTAATTATATGCATAAATGTGGATCATTCACACGTCTATTCACAGCTCATTTACATATCAATGCTGGTCCAGTAACAAATGTACGGCCAATGTAGTCACTTTACAATAGACCAATAGAAAACAGCCTGTTTATGTGCGGGAGCTACAGCAGCTAATCGCTAACAGATAACCTAAACTAGCTTCAAAGTCGATGTATTTCCAACACTCACCGCTCATACAGGCTCCTCCTCACATCACAAGTCTGCACTAATAAAAGTCCTTAATCCAGACTCAAACAGATTGTCTATAAAAAGAAAATAATCTGTGTTGCGCACGGCTGCGGGTGAAAACAATAGCACGTGAGTGAAGTGACGTGACTCTGGTGGTGTGTTCAGGGACAGTACGGACACAGACAAATTACACCGCAAATAAATACTGATGCGGAGCCACATATTAGCACATTCATCTGTCTATAACTTGGATTAAATGAACATAATGTAGAGAGTCTAAGCTTTATAACGAGGTATAACATGCCCACGTGAAATATCGGCCCATATCAGCAAGCATATCGGCCGATAGCCGATATGACTCCAGGTGCCCATATTGGCCGATAATATCGGCCGGCCGATATATCGGCCGGGCTCTAAATAATATATATATATACACGCTAGTATCAGTATTGGCCTATACTTGAACCGATATATTGCCCATCTTTGCCTTGCTGTACTGTTTCAAGACAAACTGATCTAAACTATTTCATGTCTCCTTTTAGAATTCCTCGAGAGTTTTTATCTGAAATATGGCAGTTTCATTCCTCTTGCCGAAAGCGACGTCGTGGAACATTTGAAGTCGAAGGGCAAATCGGACCTCACAAACAAGTAAGCAATACCAGCTCAAATCATCCATGTTTTCTCAGGTTAAAGGTGTATTGTGTAACTTTTGTATTGTCTTGGGGGTGTGTCACCTGCTTGTTTTTATGAATATGTCATTGCTCTGCCTAATATTCCACATTATGATATTAAACAGTTCTAAATTACACTTTATTCATGTTGCAGGTGGCTTTACAGCTCAAAAATACCTATAAAAACAGGCATTCTGACTGTGAGTGGGGTCACCTCTCCATAGATCTGACCTGTAACTTGGTCTGGTTTGGTCTCCATGAAAATAGAAAGGTTTAATACCATACTGTGAAACATTCCAGACAAAGCAATAACATTAAAATGGAGAAAAGCATTTGACGGACCCTCCACCAGAAAAGTTACATAATGCACTTTTTAAAATAAACAGTTAAAGTAGTGTCTGTCTTAAGTTTCCACCGCTATCCACAGCTTGAAACCTGACTCCTCTCAGTGTTTAATCATCCCGTTTAAACCACAGTCTATGAAAATTGACCTTGTGTTTTTCTTGTTCTTTTGTTTAAACTGGCTTGCGCTGTGTCAATAGTGAATAAATGAATACATGCCTTTCTAAATCTCATTATATTTCTCAGGGGATTGGACATTCAGAAGGAGGTGAAGCAGTACAGAGCGGGGCTGGCCTCTGCTCCGGTGGCTGGGTTCATGGTGACGCACAACAGGCACACTCTGAGTCTGGAGGATCTGAGCACGTTAGAGGAGCAAAACTGGATCAACGACCAGGTACAAAAACTACCCATTTCTACTATATTTCAACAACTCCGCTGGTGTTGGGCAAGGAATACAATTAAGGGGTTAAGATGTGCGAATGAAACAAAACACAACTCCAGGTATGTTTTTGATGAAATGAAAGAATCAGTTTTATGGATATTTTTCAGGGAGGGTAAACGTAAAACAACTCACAGGGTTACAATTCAACAACAAATATCTACTGTTTACTTTCACTGGAATAAAGCCAAGGCAAACCCAGTGTCAAATCAGAAACCAGACTTGAACAAATATGGATCACAGCAGATCTGGGACTACACCAGGTTTAAGCTAAGACTAAATTGCTGACAACTGACAACCTCTGACATAAATGAACTTTTATCAGCTAAACTGTCAGTGTGGATTTTTAATTGCATTCTACACGTTCCTATTTCAGTTTGTGTCTATTTTAGCACATATCTAGGTTTATTTGCAGTTTTGTGGTCTATGTAGTTCCCCTCTACAGTTTTACCATTCAGCTGCAACCATGAAGTTGTTCTACATAAGTTTTCCAGTCGAGGTTCTGCCACCTGTTCTGTTATTGCTTGGCCTGAGATGTTATACAATAAGGCATAAAGTTCTTCCATTGAGACAAGTAGGTGATGCCTTGCTCACAGTAAAACTTATCTTAATTCCAATTTTCATTCCAATTAATTCACCTGGAATTGAATTAATGGAAGATGGATGCATACACTACGGGTCAAAAGTTTTAGAACACCCTAATTTTTCCAGTTATTTATTGCAATTCAATTCGTGCAAGTTCAATGAAGAGCTTGAAATGGCACAAAGGTGAGAACTGAACAGACAGAGGTTAATAAAAAGATAAAAGATACAAAACACAAGTCCAAGCTCTGCCAAAACTACCTCAGGAAAAAAAAGAAAACAAAACAAAAATGAGATGGTAAGCTTGAAGAATCATGGAGTGTCCAGCACGGTCTCCAGACTTAAGCCCCATTGAACTGGTTTGGGATGAACTGGACAGAAGAGTGAAAGCCAAGCAACCTACAAGCAAGTGCCACACATTTATCAGAACTTCTGCAACAGACTTGGGAAGAACTTTCTGAAGAATATTTGATTTGTATTGTTAAAAGAACGAGCCACGAGTGTGTTCAGCTGTTTTAAAGTGTGGTGTTCTAAAACTTTTGACCAGTAGTGTATGTTTATTAATGCCATACTGTGGAACATTCCAGGTTTTGCAGTGGCATCTACATGAGACAAGCAGGTGGCTGACTCCAAACAGAAAAGTTACACAGTGCAACTTTAAATTGCACAGTCTTTTTGTGAGACTTGATTCTGCAATCCTGGGAAGGCAAATTTAACACCAAAAGTACTTCTCATTAGCATATAGGTCAGCATATTGTTTTATTTTATCCAAACATGCCTAATGAAAACAACAGCAATACATTAACATACGCCCTTTATGTTCTGATTACTTAATGGCTCTAAAGAGTGCAATTTTCATCAAGAGAGAACAACTTAGTTCCGCTTTGGGCACTAATCAGTTACAGCTATTTAAACATCATATCAATATCAGCAACTTGTAGATCACATATCATATCTTATACATATTACGGCATTTATATGTAATTTATAAATCCTAAGCACAAGCTCTAATTAGGAATGCACCTATCCAGCTGTTTGTTCTGTTACCGATTCCGATACTAAGGCTTTAAGTACCTGCTGAAACCTGAAATCCAACGATATCACTGCAGAGTCTGAAAACAGTATTTTTATTTCCTTAAAACAAAAATAAAACAAGACCGAACTGATCCAAATGTGTTACGTAGCTGTTATTCTGTATTATGCTTTCTGGAGAGGGTCTGCAACTTGTTTCCATAGAGATGTTAATGGTTTGGTTTAAATTGTCCACAGTATGGCATTAAACTAATCTGTCTTATTCAACTGCAGGTGTTATTTATTGCTCAGAAACATCTTAAAAACTTGCATTCTTACTGTCGCTTCTGCACAAATCTAACCTGTAAAGTCGCCACGGAGATTCTTAAGTTTATGGCCGTACTGTGGATCAGAGTCCTGCACCGGGTCGGGTACCCACAAATAGTTGCTGAAACGGGCGAGTTTTAACGTTCTGGAATTTTACGGGCGTGTATGCGGGCAGGTAGAGAATAGTCACGGCAAGATCAGGTGACACGTGTCCAGGACATCCGTTACCCTGGAAACAAGTGCCATTTGTCGGTCTTTTCCCAGAACGATGGCAGACCAGGCTGAGAGTAACTTTAGTGTATTTATTTCATAAAACCCATCAGCGGAGGAGATTGTCTCGGCTGCGCTCCTGGTTTAGTCCTGGTTTAGTCCTGGTTTAGACCTGCTTAAGTCCTGGTTGAGACCTGGTTGAGACCTGGTTTAGACCTGGTTTAGACCTGGTTTAGACCTGGTTTAGACCTGGTTCAGTTCTGGTTCAGTCCTAGTTTAGTCTTGGTTTAGACCTGGTCCAGTCCTGGCGATTAGCTCGGTGGTTGCGACGTATATATATTTTTGCTAATTACACTGGTTTAATCCTGGTGTAGTCCTGGCGATCGGCTCTGCGGTTGCGGAATGTATATATTTATAATCCACTAATGAAACGGCGTAGGTTCAGTCTGCTTTAGTTCTGGTTTAATCCTGGACTATTGGGCTGTCAGACTAATAGGCTGACCCCAATTTATCACGGGCATTTGTGGGTAGCGGGTGGAATTTTAACTGACGGACGGGTGTGGATTTACCTTGATATAATCACGGGTTACGGGCGGGTGTGGTGATGTACTGCACGGGTTGAGGGTCTCTAAAAATGGACCCGTAAAGGACTCTGTGTGCTGTGAAATATTCTAGCCAAATCTCCATGGAGACTAGCAGGTAATGGACCCTCTACGAGACAAGTTACACAGTGCACCTTTAAGTAACTAGAGAACAGCTCTGTGTAAATAGAAGTTTAAAAATTTTGAGACATTTTGGGAGACTACAGTAAACAGACTTATATCAGTTCATATGGCCGTCCAGGATATTGACTGAACCCATATTAGGAAGGCGATATGCAATCCAGCAAATTTTTCAGTATCTGTTTCTGTATCGATGTATCCATACACTAACCATCTATCTTTTTTCTTCTTATATTTCAGATCATCAACATGTACGGCGAGCTCATCATGGAAGCCACTGACCAGAAAGTGAGTTTGACTCAATTTTAGACTAATAAAGAATTTGATTTCATCATATTCTCAGCTCAAAATGAGGTGCGGTGCGATGTGACAGATTATAATGAATTTCAACCAAGGACCTTTTAACTTTCAATGTGTTAATTACTTTTATTGATTTGCTGTCTTAGGTTCACTTCTTCAACAGCTTTTTTCACAAGCAGCTGGTTGCCAAGGGTTACGAGGGTGTGAAAAGATGGACGAAAAAAGTAAGACAATTCGCCAGTCTTTTGTACTTGTGATTGGAAAAGAATAGTTAATAGTCAAGTTTATAATGTTAAAGGTACACTATATCACTTTTTGGTTGCGTGCCTGTCACCTGCTTGTTTTTATAGAGATATTATTTCTCTGCGTGGAATGTTCCACAATACTACCTAGAAAAACAGGCATTTTGACTGTGAGTGGGGTTGCCTCTCCACAGATCTGACCTGTAACTTGGTCCGGTTTGGTCTCCAGGAAGATGGAAAGGTTCATTGCCATACTGTGAAACATTTCAGATGAAGCTTTAACATCATCATGGAGAAAAGCATTTGACCGGGTCAGAAAAGTTACACGGTGCACCTTTAAATATTGTACATGTGATTGGAAAATGATGTCTACTTTATACTGTTAAATATTGAGAGAGGTGTCAAGTTATTTCTAGGGCTGTAATCCTTTAGTTATTAAGTCGATTAATCAGTTGATATTGTCTCAATCGACCAAACTTATAATTAATCAAGTAATTGTTTATTTAGATTTTTTCATTTTCAGCTCCTACTGTGGAACTAACTGTCTCTCCACATCTCAACTGCTCTAACTTGAGCATTTTAAAACTTTACCAAACACTTTTTTTATTCATTACACAAAATAAATTACATATTTTTATTCATTAGCATTTGACATTGTTTCAGTAGATTCATAGCCTCTTTTTGAACACTAATGCATGGTTTTGTTGTGCTGTTTACTTTATTTCATGATAATCTGTGAAGCACTTTGGTCCTCTATGATTGCTTTTAAAGGTGCTATGTATTTATTTATGTAAGTTAGATAGATAGATTGATTAGATTTCAAAAACAGCAAAGTAAGTTGTGAGTTAGTAAAAAAAAAAATTGAAGAAAATCATGGGTTTAGTCTGTGTTTTTTCCCCATATTAATACAGTTTCAGTACTTGTCTGTTGGTGTTGTGTTCTGCTTTGTTGTTTTTGCATGAACATCTGTGTAGTGGTAGTCTTGCGATTGCAATATTGTTCAGATACATGATCAGATTATATAGGTGGTAAAAACTGGAAGTAAATCATGGGTTTAATCTGCATTTTTTTCACACAACTACATAGTTTCAGCTGCTTTTTGCATGCATGAACTTCCGTACAGTTGTGATGTAGCTTTGTCAGTGCAGTATTGGTCTTAGGAATGTAACAACACTGTATCGTTAAAAGTCTAACAGTAATATCGGAGGCCAACACAATATATTGAATTACAAGTCTCTTTGATTAAATTCATTATTATGTGTTTTTATGTCTTTCTTTGCGATTTCAATGCATTTCATTTGCATTTCTTTGTGTATATACTGTGCTATACAAATAAACTTGCCTTTGCCACTGTGCACCACCTGCTAAAAAACAGAGGGAACTACATAGACCATGATCCTTTGGTGTTTGGTGAAATAACTGTACTTTTAAATAAGCACTTTTAAATCTTATCTCTTCCATCATATTATAACAGCACTTAAGGCTTTTTCGAGGCATTTCCAAGACTTTTAAAAGTAAAAAGTAAAATTTTCACAATTTTTTAGCCTCCTCAAAATATTGGAATAAATATCGAACTGTGTGATGCATATCGTGAAAATACTGGATTTTGATATCGTTTTATCCCTAATTTGTCAGATACATGGTCAGATTATAGCGACATTTTGCTAATAGTTTGAGAGCCAATTATTTTATTTAGATTTTAAAAACGGCAAGGTATATAGTGAGTTGGTTAAAATTTTGGAAGAAAATCATGGGTTTCATCTGCATTTTCTTTTTCATATAACTACATAGTTTCAGTTGCTGTTTCTGTTTTGTTGTTTTTGCATGAACTTCTTTGCAGCTGTAGTCTTGTGAATGTGGTATTGGTCAGATACATGGTGAGATTAGAGATATTTTGGAGTGTTTGTCACGCCTCTCTTTGAGTCAACCAAGAATTGCATTTCATTATCAGATAAAAGAATGATTTGTTAACATGCTCCTTGTAGTTTAAGTAATATCACATTTAAATTAGAGATGTAACGCTCTTTTGTGGAGACTAACAAAATTGTCAATACTTTTAGCTATTAAAATACCTTGACAAGACTTCAGTACTGTCGTAATCCAAAGAACTAAGATTTAAAAGTGCTTGATAACACTTGTGGTAACACTTCATGTCCCCTCCACTGAAACAGAACAAAGGATCATGGTCGATGCTGTTCCTTCTGTTTTTTTTAACTCATGCTGCAACTTAACAATGAATATAAGCAAAGAGACTTTTAATTCGATAACTGTTACATCTCTACTTTTTAGTCAAAGAATTTTGTTTCATTTTCAGGTAAAAGTATGATTTCTTAACATGCTTTTTGTGGATTAAGTGATATTACATTTAAGTTAACAGTGTGTGTGTCTGATTTTTAGATTGACCTGTTTTCCAAGTGGCTGGTGCTCATTCCCATTCACTTAGAGATCCACTGGTCTCTGGTCACCGTCAGCATGGCCCACAAAACCATCAGTTACTACGACAGCCAAGGCATTGTCTTCAGACACACCACAGAAGTGAGTACTGCTGCTGTCATGGATATATATGTTTAAAGTTTGGGTACAGGAATTTTACAGTACAATATATAATGTGTTTTGGGTCTTAATAATTATAGTGTGTGGGTGTATTTCTTTGCAATAGTGATGAAAGTTCTGCCATTTATACGTGAAAAGGTTGAGCTGTAGAGGGTCAAATAAATAACTTCCACTAATATTGGTTTATTTGAGCTATTTTTAAAAATAGGATTCTCATTCTCATTTGAGAATATAAAATTGATTTTTGTCTCAAAATTATGTTTTACAATAAACTCCATGGGAAAACAATGTCTGATACCACAGCGTTATTACCTTCACTAGCTCAATCTTTGATATTTTTGGTTTGTCTCTTTAGTTTTTTTGTTTGTCTTTTTTGCTCCATGTTTAATCTGTTAATCTACATTAAATCAGTCTGTTTATTTTCAGAATATTATGAAGTACCTTCTGGCTGAAGCCAAAGAGAAAAAACAGACGGCCTTCCAGAAAGGCTGGAAGATCACCATCATCAAGGTAAAAGGTTATGTTAAAACTAAATAAAAATAAGATCTGGTTTGAATTGAAGCAGTTCTCCACTTGGTTTAAATTCCATAGATTATACATGAGACAAAGATCTGACCACTAACACAGTGCTGCCCCTGGTTACCATCCCTTCTCTTACACATGAATACATTCAAAGATGGAGTGTTAGCGGCCAATTACTGCCTTGGCTCAAACAAAAGGAGGAAATTGTATTAGAATCTGCGCAGGTACAGCCTAATTGACCAGATATATAATATTATTCATTAACCATATCAATAACCATGCTTTTTTTTCTTGTGATTTATGTATGTATTATGTATGATTTTTAAAATGTTGTTCTTAAATAGCTGGTAGAAATAGCATTACCACTAATTTCTTGGGTTCTTTGAAGGCGCACTATGTAACTTAACTGGTAGAGGGTCAGCCACCTAATTTTTTTTAGCATCAAAATCAATAAATGACAGCTAGATAGATATGTTATGTATAATGCCATATTCTGGAACATTCTTTAAGCAATACTATCTCCATGGTGACAGGTAAGTGGCGGACCCTACCATAAAAGTTACGCAGTGCACCTTTAAAGACACTACAGTAGGAAATGTATTTACCTTGTTGACATGTTTAGTCTGCGGCCTGCGAGTCGTCTTCAGAATGTTTTTGGACTGGTAGGAGATGGTTTGTTCTGTCTTTGCCACAGTCTGTTGTTCAGGCTGTAACAGTCTTTTAATAGCATCTGTAAACTTCAAACATTGGCTCTCTGTCTATACCTTTCAAGATGAGTGGATAAATTGTTTCATACTGAAATCTCTATTCACCTTATTCCAGAAGCTGCCATGGGCGACACCATCGTCATTGGGGTTGTATTATTTTCCATGGGGCTGCCGATCTTGACGGCAAACCACTTTAAAGGCTCACAGAGAATCGGTGACGTGTTGGTGCTGGGGATGGGAAAAATCTATTCAGTTGATTAATTGAATTTGAAGTTTTATTTTCCTCCCTTTCTTACATTGGGAATTGCCTTGAAAATATAAGAAAGGCTGCACTCTGCACTCACAGGAGTAGAGTTTAGTACACGGCCACAGGGCCATTCAGCGCTGACAGCTTTGAAATCAGTTATGTCAAATTAAATGCTGGGGCTGCATGTTGAATACAATCATTTTTGTTTTATCTCATTCACTAAAAAAATCCTCAACAACCTAATCATTATATAAATAAATATGATCTCTGAATACAAATTATTATTATTTTTTTTCAGTTTTGACAATTTTCGGTAGTTTGCAGTTTTTAGTGAGGAGTGGGGTAAAAATTGAAAATTACATTTTTTTTTTTTTTTAGAAAAACTCAACAATTTTATTTTCAGGCAAAATTGCCCAGCCCTAGTTGGTTCACATGAACACTGAATATTTTACACAAATCAAGCTACTTTATATCATATTTTATCTGCAAAACATTTCTCAGATACTCAGATACAGATGTGATCCTCACTGAAACCAGATGTGCCACCACATGACAGTTTACTCACATTTAGCTGCAAAAGTGGGCGGGGCCAAAAAAAGTCATTAAAATCATTCACTTTCTACACAACCTGCTGTAACTTTGCAGCCTGCCCTGTCCGGTCTAACTATAGGACCTCAAAGTCAGAGCTGAGAGCTGATATCCTGCTGTTCTCTGTTTGACTTCTGGACTCTTGTGTTCCCAGGGGATCCCTCAGCAGAAAAATGACAGCGACTGTGGGGTTTTTGTCCTTGAGGTGAGTTTTTTCCACCACAACTCCCCCTGCTGGCCTGTTCTTTCACTGCCCTCGGTGTCTTCTCTATCTTTGTAGTTTCTATCTTTGTCTGTGTATCAGGTTTGTCCCAGATTTTGGACTGAAGTGATGGGTGTTAGTGTCATGGAGGGATAATGTTCACAGCCTTATTTTGTATTAGAGTTGGAAAATGTATTAAAAAAAAATCCAATACTTATTTATACTTAAACTAGTATAAAAACTAGATACTCATTTGAGGAGGGATTGATATTAAAGGGCCCATATTTTGCTATTTTATAATCTGTGTTATAATGTTGTTTCCTCCTCCAAAAACACACGTGGAGTTGTGTTTTGTTTCACTCACACATGTTTAACACATAAAATCCTGCATATTTTGGCGAGTTCTTCTCTCAAACTGAAAACACTTGGTTCCACCTTGTGATGTCCTCCTTCACTAGCCACTTTGGATGATTTCAGCCCTGGAATTGCCTATTAAACACAAGGTATAAGGTGGTTGTTAACTTGAAAATTACCACTACCACGCTTTGGAGATGTAAACAGACTAATAAACCAGGATTACTCAAACATGTGAACGAAAGAAAATACAACTCCAGGGTGTGTTTTTGATGGACTAACAACATTATAACATGGTTTAAATCTCACAAGAGTCAAATCTGTATAAAACATAAGATTTTTAGCTCCAAAGTGGTGTAATGGCAGAGAGGTTAGTCCCTAGCCTCACTGTTGTGTTACATAGATTTTCGTGCCAGTTGGCCTTTTGAATGTTCTTCTTTTCCAAAGCAGTGGATCTCACACTTATTCCCTATAAATGAAGTTCTGTTTGTGCCAACGTGCTGGGACAGGCTCCAGAATCAGGCTCAGCACTTCAGCACAGGAGCAGGAAGCAAGAAACAACTTAAAAAAGACTGGAAATACTGGAGAAAAAGACTGAGGATGATCAATACAAATGTGTACTTGTGGATACTGCTTTTGGGTACAGTTCAAGTAGACAGTTAAACATACCAAGACTGGATAGTTTTATTTTGATGACAATTCTGAAATGAATAAATAACAAATAATCATACTGTACTATTATAACTTTCATATTTCTCTCTCCTCTTGTCTAATGTACATTTAGCTCCTACAAATCAATGTTCATTTTGACAGTTAAGGGTTCATTGGAGTTCAGTTTATTCCATTGTTGTGAAAGGTTCTATATTAAGGCATTTTATAATGCTCTTTCCAGTCTTTTCAAATACATTTTCTGGCTTCCTGCTCCTCTTTTGAAGTGCTGAGCCTGATTCTGTAGTCTGCCTCAGCACTTTGGCACTCAAAAACCTACCTGGAGTTGTGTTTTGTTTCATTTACACATGTTTGTGTAATCCTGTAATATTATCTAAATCGGGGGTGTCAAACACAAATTTACAGAAGGCCAAAATTAAAAACTGGGACTAAGTCGTGGGCCAAACTAAATATTTATTGAAGAATTTCAACAACATCTGCATGTTTTCTCTTCTTTTGAGATATGTAATGTTAAACCTTTTCTTTGTAAAATAAATGTTTAATAATAATTTTGCTTAAACATTGAATCCAAAACAAGCAAAATATAAAATAATAACATATCTCTATAGCCTATGTGCAGCCGGCGGGCAGCTCTAATACATATTTGATATGATCTCATGGGACAAATATAGTTATTTCGTGGGTCTGACATGTCTGATCTAAATGCTCTGTTGCACCGTGTGGTGCCATGTAGTGTAGTTTTCAAGTTAACAGCTCCTTTACCTTTAGTTCAGAAGAGGTTGGAAATTCTTGGTCTGAAATGATCCAAATGATTCTAGTGAATGTGTATGGAGTTTAAAAACACAGTGGAGCTTTTCCTGTATTACCATAGGACATCACAAGGTGGAACAGAGTGTTTTCAGTTTGAGAGAATAACTCAGCCTGAATATGCAGGGTTTGTGTGTTAAACATGTGTGAGTGAAACAAAACACAACTCCTGGTATGTTTGTGATGAGGAAACAACATTATAGATCAGAAAATGGCGTAATATGGGCCCTTTAAATAACAAATAATTATACTTTCAAATAGTATGTCTCCACTTGTTTAATACACAGTATTCATTAATACAACTTAGTTTTACAAAAAAAGTCAAGAATATAAAGTATTGTATTATGCTATCGTCAGCAAATTAAAGTCACATTTGGGTCCAAACCTTGAACCAAGCCCACAATGGACAAGGGGCCCCCAGGCACTGTACTGCAATCACCTACTGCAGAGGACAGGTTCCCTATGGGGCCTTTAACCTTTATTTGATATATTCTAACTTAGGAAAATGCTTTTTACAACATACAGGGTAAAAAAAATTAAGTTGCTAATACATAAGGATACAGAAGGGAGCAACTGTCAGGGGAAAAACAGTTTTATCCAATCAGAGGCATTGTTGGATGAGAACCATATGGAAACATCTACAGACAGTTGCTGCTCTGGCATGGTTCAGCACCAGAGTTTTTTTTGCGATCAAATTTGTATTCAAGTGTTATCATTTGCAGTTATACATATTCCAGTTGGCATTGCATTTTTCTCCTTTTTAAACCCCACACCTCCCACTCTGAAGCTCCCTATTGACGGGCACATACAGAAACACATACACATACATACACATGAATACATATACTTATATACACATTCACACATATAAAAAAGAAAAATCAATGAAGACGCCCAGGTTTATATTCCCGCTACACAAAACATCTGCAAATTTCCCCCATCAAAAGACATCAGCAGAAATTGTGTTATACATGCTACGCGAAACACACACAGAACAGACTCACCATCAGCAGCACATCTGGACTTGCCATCTTGTCTTGGTCCCTTATGAGCATCACGTGACAACAGAACGAAACTAATCGAACGTCATCTCCCCACAGTTAAAAGAAACATTACAGATACTATTAGCTTTACATCGTGATAGCATTCAATTGAAAATACAACCACGCATTCATTTGTGCTGAACAAACAAATTTAAGTGTTAATAAATTATAATATTATATTAGGTCCTTATGCGCTGCAGATTTTTTTAATGACGGTAATGAAACTGATAGCGTTGCTACTTTCTGATACCGTGGGATACCGTAATACTGTATTACTGCCCAACCCTAGTACATACTGTGTACATTCTGTGAACAAATAACATCATAAAAGGTCTCCAGGTAATGACTATACAATACATTCAGACCTCAATTTGATCTGTAGAATGAAGCAGCAAGAAATGTTTTTGACTTTTGCTCCCTGCATTGGAGTGGCAAAAAGCTCCAGTTGAATGATTTCTCTGTAAGATAAGAGCCATTCTCTCACAGTCAGAGGTTGAACTAATTTCCAACGGCATATTACCATTTTTTGGCAGCTGTAAGACCTGCTAGTAATATACAACGGTCATTAATTAAGATTTAGTTTGGGCATGTCATCTAGCAAAAGAGTGCAAGGTTTGGTTATTCCTCTGTTTAACATCAGAGTTAACAGCTCCATCTGAAATATGATCTTCACTTGTAGTTCAAAACTGGGTACAGGCTCTTCAATTATTTAGTGTTCTTTGCATCTTTATCACTAGAGATTCAACGTGCATACCTACAAATGTATGTTTGGGCCTGTCACGATGATTACTATATCGAATTATCTTTTAATTTATCGTTTAATACGTGACAGCTCATGGAACAATCATTTTTGTGGACCAATATTTACCATAGCTGTAGACAGTTGAATTATGAACTTCTATGAATTTTATGGATTCAAACCAACTACTAACGTGTTGCATTCTGTTAAATATTTATTGCAGTTCATGTTTTTTTTCACAATATTGCCTATTTAGAATAGTTTTGGGAGGATAATTCTGCTTTATTGTTTGGTTTCTCTTCTGTATTTACTTATTGTATTGTATCGCACTTCATAATTTGTAATCGTGCTAGGCCTATGTATGTTAAAAAGTAAACAATATCTTCCATGTTGCTGAATGTAAACCTTATATTTTGTGTTGTCTCCTCAGTATTGCCGGTGTCTGTCAGTGAAGCAGCCTTTTCGCTTCAGTCAGGAAGACATGCCACGCATAAGAAAGAGGATCTACAAGGAGCTGTGTGAATGTCGTCTGGACGTTTGAAACTCCGCCCCCTTTTAACCCCCCTCCCCCCTTTAGACCTCACCCCGCCTCACCCTTCCTCACTCCTATACGCTCTGAGACACGGGCAACTGACAACATCAACATCGTAGTGACGGCTGCACTGCAAAAATGTACATCTCCGGGTAGAATTTAAAAGTGCGTTGTGCAACTTTTCTGGTGGGGCGTCCGTCAAATACTTTTCTCCGTGTCAAAGAATGTTTCACAGTATTGTGTTAAACCTTTCTATCTTCACGGAGACCAAAGCAGACCAAGTTACAGGTCAGATCTGTGGAGAGGCGACCCCGCTCACAGTCAGAGCGCCTGTTTTTCTAAGTATTTTTGAGCTATAAAATAGTTTGTAATTAAATAAATGTAAGTTAAAGCTATTTAATGTCATACTGTGGAACAATCAAAGCAGAGCAACGACATATCCATAGAAACAAGACCTCCATCCAAAATGTTACACAGTGCACCTTTAAATGTCTAGAGTCAGTCATATTGATTTGAGTAAAATTGGCAAGTTTAGGTTTATTTATTATCTTGGTCTGAATTTTGTGACTTTTTGACCAGTGATCATCCAGATTTTAAAATTGAAAAATCTAATTCAAATTGCAATTCCATGTTTTTCCAGGCTCATCAAGCCCTAGTTAAAATGCATGTAAAGGTGGACCTGATTTAAAAAACATGAAAAACAGAACTAGTTCATTTTAAACAGTTTGCAGAGCTCCCAAGTTAATCCTCACTCACCTTATGCCTTCTTATTATTCACAGTGATGAGTTTATAAGAACTTTTCACAACTCTCAGAAACCAGAGCGTGATTGGCAAAAAGCTAACAACCAGCATGCTAACGTGCACTTCCTGAGTATCAGACAGTAAAATGCTTTATAATTACACTCAGGCAGCAAGCAGCGGACATATTTTGACCTCAATAGCTGCTTATGCAAGACAAATTTTGCTCAAATACCTGTGAGAAAATACAATTGTGGACCCAAATTGTTAAAGCATGATACGGTTACAGACTATTCATGTACTATATATTTGTAAGTAAGTCTTTATATATATATAGCGCTTTTCACAGACATATTGTAAAGTATTATAAATTTGTATTTTGGCAAAAGAGAAATGGAGCTTGATAAGTAAATGAGCTGAAAAAGCTTTGATTAATTATTGGAACCAATTTAAAATACCTTGAAACAACAAAGAAATTCTAGACCCACAAACAAAACACAGCTAAAGTAGTACAACAGATTCAAATCAAAATTAATATTCTGAACTCAAATCTTTTTAAAGGTCCTAAGTTTCCCTTTTAGCCGTGTTATAATGTTGTTACCTCCTCAAAAACAGACCTGGAGTTGTGTTTTGTTTCATTCACACATGTTTGAGTAATCCTGCATTGTTAGTCTGTCCATATCTGCAAAGCTCAAAATGCTCTGTTCCACCTTGTGATGTCATGTTGTAGTTTTAAAGTTCCCTTTTACCTTTTGTTTAGAAGAGGTCGGAAATTCCAGTGCTGAAAAAAATCCAAATGATTCTAGTGAATGTGTATGGAATCTAAAAATACGCTTCCTCTTTTACTACATGATGATGTCATGTAGTAAAAGAGGAAGCGCTCCACTGTATTTTTAGAGGAAGAGAGAGGTGGAAGAGAGTGCTTTTATTTGAGAGGAGAACTCGGTCTAAAAATGTAGGATTTGTGTGTTAAATGTGTGAATAAAACAAAACACAATTCCAAGTGTGTTTTTGATGAGGAAACAACATTATAACAGATCAGAAAACAGTGTAATATGGGACCTTTATCTGTGAGATTGTGAAATTTTTGCAGTGCCAACACATCCAGGTCACCCCCATCTTTAACCTTTGCCTCTTCTGTATCCGAGTGACTGTAGTGGTCTTCCCAATAGACCAAAAACTATTAAGAACTATTGAAGAACTCCTGATGTCGCCCTCTACTGACTGAAAACAGCGCTACAGTACGGTTTCCCACTGTTTTTGCCAAATCCTCAAGAACTTTTTGGACAAGAGAGGAACCAGCTTGGACCAATCCTGGAAGAAACCTTTTCCAACTAGTGGCCTTATATCGAATCGGCCATTTTTATCGAAATTCTGGAACAGTGCTGTGACGAGAGGTGATACGCGGACCAATTCTTATCATTTAAACTTGAAGGATTTACGTTGGAGGATTCATTTTGTTGAAACTTTGCACGGTTAGAGGCCTAAACATCGATAAACTGAATGTTCGGTGGTATGTTTTGTTCCATCTTTGCAGAGTGGAGACTTCAGCAGCACAAAAGCTATGGACACATTTTCACTTGGGAGACGTTATTATAAGTTATAATTTCATCACAGTTTATTGACAATATTTTAGTCTTTGAGATGAGTACTCTCGTTTATCGATTTATGTGTTAATCCACGGACAACTTGAGTTCCCATTTCATGCTGGTTAGTAATTTCACATTTTCTGCTGCTGTTGCGAGGACCACACGTTTTAATCTAATCCTTGAAGCTAATCCCCCGAGACCTGTTAGCATACATTAGCAGTAGCCTACGTGAGTGTGGGGTAAACAAGTGGACCTCAGCTATTTTAAATCTTAAAGCTGCACTGCGTAACTTTTCCGGTGGACAGTCTGCCACTCGTTTGTGATCATGGAGATGTAAATGCTTTGCTTGGAATGTTTCTATCTTGCATTATTTCATTTATTGTTAAAAAAACAGTTGCCGATACCATACATACCTCGATACGTAAGCCACGATACAATATATATTTCGATACAGTGAAGGCTATATCATGGCCATGATACTAAAAGTCTTTGTTAAACCACGTTCTGTGTAAAGTTCATATGAAGCACAAACATTTTACTCATTAAAACTGTGAAAATGTCAAATGTGTCGCATAAAAGAATTTCCTTCCATGGAACAAGCAACAAAAACAACAAACAACAAGCAACAACAAAGTAACAAAATAATTATGTAAAATATACAACTACAGATACAGCAGCCCACAATACTGATACTGTATCATCACATCAAATGATACGATATATCGATATTTCAATGTTTTCCAAGCCAATCCAGTCCAACTTTACTTCTATAGCACATTTTACAAACAAAAGTTTCCAAAGTACATTTTACTTTAAAAAGAAAAAAAAAAGCAGAATTATGTTTAATAAGGACAGTAATAGAATAAATAAATAAAATAATAATAATAAAATCAGTGAACAAAAATAATAAAATCAAAACATAACAGTACTAAAAAGATAAAATGGTTAAAAACAACAAATAAAAGACACAGAAGACCACACAACTCACGCAGTATTAAAAGCCAGAGAATAAAAGTGGGCCTTAAGACGAGACTTAAAACGCTCCTCTGTTGGGGCTGTTCGGATGTGGGGGAGCAGAGCGTTCCAGAGTTTGGGGCCGACCACAGAGAAGGCCCCGTCCCCCTGGTTTTAAGTCTCGTTTTGGGGACCACAAGCTGGAGCTGGCCCTCGGACCTCAGAGTACGTGCGCTTTTTGCACATCCCTAATTCTTACTGTGAGTGGGGTCTATTCTCTCCACAGACCTGACCTGTAACTAGACCTTGTGGCATCACTTGCTTATCTCTATGGTGATACATAAAATTGAATGCTATACTTTGGAACATTAATCTGCCCTAGGGTGACCAGACATCCCTATTTACCCGGGACAGTCCCAGTTTTGAGCTTTGAGTTTTCCTGTCCCAGCAGATTTATCCAAAACTATTGATTTATCCCAGTTTTGTACAAGAAATATTCCAGGTGTCTCTATTTTTAACCAATTTGATCCCTGCCAACAGTAAGGAGAGGCATAAATCATTAGTTCCTTACGTAAAATGCAGAAAAGCTGCTTAAAAATGACCAAAACACAATGAAAATGTAACTAGACCTACTCACATGTTTGTCATGAATGGGCCAAGTGCAGAACAATTTTCCTTAATTACGCACTCGAGTCACAATTTTATTACCAAACACCAAAAACCAGGGGTGTCACTTTTTTAAAATTTTTATTTTGAAACTCTGGTCACTCTAATCTGACCTGTGACCCAGCCTGATGGTATTGCTTGTGCCCAGGGAGATTTAATATTTAATGCCATACTTTGGAACAGTAATCTGACCTGTGACCTGGCCTAATGCCATCACTTACTTGTTCCCATGGAGACAGAAGATTAATGTTTAATACTGAGGAACATTAAAAGCAAATCAGTAACTAAATAAATGTGAACAAGTGGCAGACCCTCTAACAGAAAAGTTACGCAGTGCACCTTTAATTCTATATCCATCCTCGGTTTTATTGTTGTATAATTTGTATTTACAGATTGTATTGAAAGTCTATTGGCCTTCTACTGTACATGCTATAGCTTCGGCTCAAACCATGACTGTTTTTACCGTTGTTATTAAAAAGACTGTACTGCTGGAAATGTGGCTCCAATTCCGATTAATTACTCCCCGTCATACCTCGTGTCACCACAAGAGGACCCTGTGCATTAATTATAGCATTTTTTTTTTTTTTTTTTCATCACTGTCCATCTGGTTTCCAAGGTCACAAACATGTCAAATGCTTTAAGCGTTGGATCAGGGCCCATATATGAGATCTCAAAGGTCCTTTATTACGTGAGATTGACTCTTGTGAGCTTTAAGCCACGTTATAATGCTGTTACCGTCTCAAAAACAGACCTGGAGCTGTACAGGGTGTCCCGAAAAATCTGACATCATTTTAAAAGCAATTATCTTGAAAACTACTAAGTCTAGCTCAGTGATATTGAACAGTTTAGGTGTTGAAATCATAAGTTTACTATGGGACTGAAAAATCTGACATAATTTTAAAAGCAATTATCTTGAAAACTACTAGGTCTAGTTCAATGATGATGTTGATGTTGGTCTACCACAGGGGTGTCCAAACTTTTTTCATAAAGGGCCACATATCTAAACACAAATGAAGCAGAGGGCTGATCGAGGGCCTTAGACTGGTGCTCAATACAGTGAATAACTGAAATATGTGCATGTTTGATACGTTAGAATGAGCCATCAGACTTTATTCACACCAAGATCCTTAAAACCACAAACTAAATATTCGATATTGGCTTTATCAAGATAGATTCTCAAAAAACTTGCAGTAAAAAGTAAATTTTAAGGTAATTGTAAGGTAATTTGGGCCAAGAAAAATTTGTCCGAGGGCCGTGTTTGGCCCACGGGCCGTAGTTTGGACATGCCTGGTCTACCAGATCCTTTAGCCCTCCATAAGCAGCCTTCCTCTTTAAAATGTGTGTTTGCCAGTTAGTGAAGTTTTTCCAAATTTTGCATTTTGGGCACGCTGCACAGTCTTGGGTGACTGTGCGCGAGCATATTCCAAGACGCAAAATGACTTCTCTTTGCGAATGAACGGCGTGGCTCAACCTGCAAACAGAAAATTTGAGGTTATTTTGACAATAATTGCCAAAATTATTGGCCTGCGAAATGATGCCAGTTTTTTTGGGACACCCTGTATTTAGTTTCATTCATTTGAGTAACCCTTTATTATTAGTCTCTCTACATCTCCAAAGCCCAAAATGCTCCGTTCCACCGCGGTAGTTTTCAAGTTAACAGCTACCTTTTACGTTTTGTTTAGCAGAGATTGGCAATTCCAGGGCTGAAATCATTCAGATTATTCAAGTAAAGGTGTCTGGAGTTTAAAAGCACATCAGAAAGTGGAATAGAGTGGTTTCTGTTTGAGGGAAGAACTCCGCTTAAATATGCAGGTTTTATTTGTTAAATGTGTGAGAGAAACAAAACACAACTCCAGGTATATTTTTGATTAGGAAATAACATTATAACACAGATCAGCAAATAGTCTGCCTTCCCTGCTGGGTTTGTGGTGATTATATAAGTCAAAATATTACAGCGACTATTTTTAATGCCACAATTAGCATGACTGACCTGCTAATGAGGCGACCTTTAAAACACTGCTCGTATTTATATTCGAAAGCCTGATTACACTTTGTTTATGTACGCGTTGATTATGCTTTCCTGGTCTCAAAACTCAACTCTGAAACAAGAAATATATCTGTAATTAAGTGTTATGAGGTTGCAATTAGTGCGGATGTAGGATAAGTTTGAGTTGCATAACAAATTTGATCTCTTGTGTAATAAGTTATAAGTAATAAGTAAAGAAATAAGTGCCATTTTCTTTTCATTCTGTCCCTTTTTTTCTAAACAGAATTCATACTTAATTGTGATTGGTCAGATCCATCTGTCACTCACATTGACGAGCTTGACCAATAGGAGGAGTACCTGCGCACTGTGTAACTTTTCTGCGCCACAAGCTTGTTTCCATGGAGATGTTATTGCTTTGCCTGAAAAGTTTCACAGTATTGCATTAAACTAATCTATGTCACATTTATTCAGTGAAAGTTGTTTTACTGCTCAAAAATACTACGAAAAACATGCATTCCTACAGTGAGTGAGCTCGCCTCTCCACAGACCTGGCTTGTCTCCATGGAAATAGATAAGTTTAATGCAATACAGCGTGTGGGATTCTAGATAAAGCAATAACAGCATCATGAAAACAAGCAGGTGGCGCATCCTCTATCAGAATGTTACATAGTGCACCTTTATTTTTACGGATAAATTCAATATATTTCTAAACAATCTGATATGGTTTGATAAAAAAATAAAGGCTAAATCATGGCCGTGACACTAAAAGTCTTTGTTAAACCACTTGTGCAAACTGAATATGAAAAAAAGCCCATTTTACTCATCAAGACTGTGAATATGTGAAATGTGTCACATTCCTTCCACTAAACAAACAACAAAACTGTCACTCTAACAAAATAATTGAGTGAAATACACAAAAAATACTCTTGGTGATATATCAATACAGCAGCCCACGATATCGATACTGTATCATCACATTAAACAATACGATATATTGATATTTTGATATTTTTGCACACCCTTAATTAGGATTCATTCTCTCGACGGTAAGTGGGTACTTTTTTTATTTAACCAGTCGCTGCTATTTGGTCGTGACATATGTAATGCGTCAAATCCTGTAAGAAGAAGACCAATAACGTTTTTCCCCTTGATAAAAGTCACCAAACATTCTCTTTGTTCCAGCTTTAAATCCTCGCTCTCGGGAATCGTTGCCAACACAGAATGTCTGTCTTCGTCTACATCCATCTCGACAGCTTTGTTTGCTGTTGTGCTGTTCCACAAAAAGAACCCAGACAGGCGCGACGAGTTTGACGTCATGGCTTCACAGCTCTTCGCTGATTGGCCGGTGCGCGGTCTACAACTTCCGGGCTTCCAGCAAACCATCTAGTGTATTCTGATTCCTGACCTGGTCGCTGGAGACAATTGAAATTGAGTGGAGGCACTAGGTGGTACCAGCCTGACTAGCTCACCACAAGAATAAGGTCACAGTTTGATTTTATCACCATGTTGCGTAGCCCTATTCATAATTGATTACTCATACTCATCAGCTCCTGTAATATAGGCCCAATGTACTGTAAGTCCTCATCAGTGAGTCTGTGTAGTAGCTCTGTGTATTCTGTGCAGTCATCTGAGCACAGAGGAAGTACGCTCAAGGCCACTGGTAGCTTTTATAGTTGGCGGTTACAAACGTGGTGAATATTAATGTTCACAACAATACACACACTTATGGATAGAAATGCCAAGGCCAAACCTTACAACAGAAAGAAAAAATATAATATCAAGTTATGACAGTTAGAAAATAATAACGTGTAAACTAGTTACGTCTGCTTCATTTACAGCAGTGTCGGGAAGTGACTGTACAGAAAATCCATATTCACAATTTTAATATGAGCATAAATGTATTCCACTAAGTTATGTAAGAATATAGTTCCTAAAATTAAAGGAAAGCCTTGTGGGGTTTGATCATGCAGTTAGCCTTCAAACTGTACAGTGTTAGTGGAAAACGATGTAAAACAGCATTCTCAGGGGACATACATGTGCAATTATTCCTTCAGTAATTAATGATAAAAACAAAATGCATTACAAACAGTGCTACAAACAGAATGCTTTTTAATCCTAGGTCACGTTAATTTACATAATTCGCCTTGGATTCAGAATCACACTGCTTCAATAATTTATGAAGATGTGAGTCTGTCCCCGGTGAATTTTCAGATGGGCGTGATTGACAGGTGGATTAGCCAATCAGGGACATGCATGGATCATCCATATCAGAAAAAACAAAAGAAACGGATATCACAGGAGACTGAAAAACATCACGAAGTATTAAACTCCATTAATCTGAGGTGAGAGGAATTGGATTTTATTTGTAAATGATAGTGATCAATGAGCTCCTTTGTTTCACAAGCATCACTGAAATAAACTAATCTGATTGGACGATTGTGTTTGACCGAACTTGAGATGCAGCAGAGGGCGAGGGGACCAGACTGATATCCTGTATGTAAAAATAGAGAGAGATGTCAGCCTGGATTTTCAAGGCAATGACATTACACTATAATGCGACTCAATGTCAAAGTGTTCTAGTACTCAGAATACAGTGCAGGTCTTTAGTATTCTGTAACTAAATACTTGTTGCATAGTTGTTGTGGAAATTATCTGTAAAATAATACCAAAACATACAAGAAACAAACGGTCTCATTACTGACGGACAGAGTTTCTGCCAGCAGTGAGCCCAGAGCGGTGGGGTAACAATGCTTAAAGGTTGTATGGAGGATTTTTTTTTTAGTTTCAAATTGTCAATGAAAGTTTAAAATACCATTACAGAGACGCAGCAGCCTTGTAATTATGATGACAAAAAAAAAAAAAAGAATGAAAATCTATCAACTGTGGACATAGTGAGGTCAGATAAACATCAGCCAATAGATAACAAGGCTGCCTCATTTTCTAGGTTAGGTTAGGTTGTCAAATCAAACTCCCTACGTTTCTTGTGTAACTGACTCGCCGGCATGCAGGGATTATGTGGTTTATGCAGCGGTTTTTAGATACTTTTTTAAACTGTAGTTTCCTCGCAGTTCGCACGAAGTTTGGTGGAGAAGAATCCACGACCAGTTCACTGCAAAAGAAAATCCGTTTTTGAGGTCGCTGAAAGAAGAAGAGAAGGGGAAAAGGAGCAAAGCCAAACATGTGATTCTTGGAGATCTCTTCCAGCAATTGTGTGAATGAAGCAGACAAAGGGTCTAAAAACCGACACAAAATTATTTCTAGACAGGTCACTTCAGCAGTAATTCTGAACGTGCACTGGCTGTAAACAAGCTTGATTTCTAGAGTAAGGAGGCGGGAGGAGATGTTTCTACTGAGGGAGGTGTGGAAGAGGGAGGTGGTGTCAGGCATGCACAACATTTGAAAAAGGACTGTCGCTGTATTTCTTTTCCCTTTAAAAAATCCTCTATACAACCTTTAAATACTTTCTGAGGTCCAAGCCCTTCCCGAGAACAGTTTGCATTTAGGTCAG